TAGAGGATGGTGGGATTTTCATATAGATGAGACTGCAAAAGATCAAATCCCAAATGCTACTAAACAATGGATTATTAAAACTCAAGTCGGCCCTGGACAGGTCCAAGAAAATGTAGTTGACGAAGGTGATGCAGTTAATACATTGATCTACACTATCACTCTTCACTTTGTTGGAAATACGGCTCTCTTAGCCGCTAGATCAGAAGATCTGCTTTCAAATTTACGTTGCCCAACACTTTCTTATTTTAAATGGTATAAAGATGTTTTCTACTCTAGATTATTATCTAGGGAAGATAGTAAGGCAGATCATTGGAAGGAAAATTCCATAGCTGAACTTTCCCATCTTTTTGCTGAAAAGGTTAAAACACGGCTGAAAAATAAACATGGAGGAATTATTCCCTATTCCCTTTATGCCCTTAGAGAATTATCAACAGAAATCTGCGCTGAAGGCCTTGCTTTATGCACAAACCTAAAACTACGAAGACAATTAGAAAACCAAAGAATGACAGGGAAAAAAGAACTAGGAGACTTTTGTGAATAGTTTGGGTATAATACTTTACCCTCTTCTAAACCCTCTCACAAAGAAAAATACAAGAATTTATTACAAAAGTCAAAATTTAAACAACCCAGGGAAGAAAACAAACATTTCCTAAAAGATTTATGCAAGATCACTCTTTCAAACAAAAAGGAAAAAGAAAGATACATGTTTGTTATAACTGCGGGAAGGTAGGTCATTATAAAAATAAATGCAGAGTTAAACAGAAAATCAATGCACTCGAAATCAACAAAGATATCAAAAAAAATTTATTTGATATTCTTCTAGTGAATAGAGATGATTCTGATAGTTCTTCTAACTCTGATGGAGAAATTTTAATTGGAGAAATAAATGATGAGGATTAGATCCTCACTAGCTCTGACTCTGATTCAGATGATGATGATAATCCTGGAAATGCCTGCCAATGTAATTTTTACAAAGCTATTACTGATATGAATGGTTTAAATCTAAATACTCTTACAAAAGAGGAAAGTTTAATCATTGACCTGATTGATAAAATCAGTAACCCAGAGGCTAAAAAGCAAGCCTTGGTTCAATATATCGACATGGCAAAAGATTCATCTAGACCTACTACTCCAAAACCCTCTCTCGTACCAAAAAGAGAAGAATACAAATTCCACGACATCCTAAAAAGGGTTCAAAACAAAATTCAAACTATCAGGAAACCTTCAATTCCTGAGTTAAAACATGAGGTAAATGAAGTTCGCAATGAATTGATAACCCTGAAAACTAGAGTTCAAATCTTGGAAATGGCAACTGCTACTTTAAATAGAAAAGAAGGTATTCATGATGAAAATACTAAAGTAGAATTCAGCAACTTGATGAATGAATATCACCATAATCTTCTACCACCTGAAGCGAAAGATTCACTTCCGAAAGTTCTAGAAAATGATGACCTTGAAACTTCAGACAGATGTAACATGCTAGAAAAAATCAAACTTCAAAACTATGACTATGTCAACCTTTTAGACAAAGTCATAACTCAATGATGGTTTACTATCGTTAAAATAGTAGTACAAAAGGAATATAGTTTCCAAACAACTGCTCTTATTGACTCTGGAGCAGATCTAAACTGTATAATTGAGGGCTTAGTCCCTACAAAATACTTTAGTAAAACTACCCAAATTTTAAACACCGCTGACGGAAGTAAAATGTTAATAAACTATAAACTATCTGATGCAGCAGTTTACAATAATGGAGCATGTTTTAAATTTTCTTTCATCATGGTTAAAGGATTAAGCCAACCTCTTGGAACCCCATTCCTAAATATGCTTTACCCTATCAAAATTGATGGTACCGGTATTGAGGCTAACATTGAGAGACATGAGGTAAAATTTACCTTCATAGATAAGCCTAGAGTTCATGAAATAAATAACATTAAGAATAAAATCTCTACGAAGGAAAAATTCTTTTTTCATCTAAAAGAGGAAAATAAGTATAAAACCATTGAAGAAAAATTACTATCTCCATAAATACAAAATAAAATTAGTACTTTCAAAACAATTCTTGAAAAAGAAATATGCTCCGATATTCCTAACGCTTTTTGGAATAGAAAACAACATATAGTTGAACTTCCTTATGAACCAGGTTTCGATGAGCGAAAAATACCTACAAAAGCAAGGCCTACTCAAATGAATAGTAGGCTCCTTGAAATTTGTAAAAAAGAAATACAAGAATTACTTGATAAAAAACTTATCAGAAAAAGTTCCTCACCCTGGAGCTGCTCAACCTCTTATGTTGAGAAGGCTTCTGAAATCGAAAGAGGAGCCCCTAGATTGGTTATAAATTACAAACCATTAAATAAAACATTAAGATGGATTTGGTATCCAATTCCAAATAAAAGAGATCTCTTAGATAGATTGGTAAATGCCTGCGTATTTTCAAAAATTGACTTAAAATCTGGATATTGGTAAATCAAAATAATAGAAAATGATAGGTATAAAACAGCCTTTAATGCCCCTTTCGGGTATTATGAATGAAACATTATGCATTTTGGTTTAAAAAATGCACCATCTGAATTTCAAAACATTAAGAATGATATATTCAATCCTTATACCAAATTCATGATTGTATACATTAATGATGTAAATCCGTTGTGTATGGGATCGAGATCCGTTGTGAATGGGAGCGAGATCCCTGAAGTAAAGGGAGCGAGATCCCTGAAGTATCGGGAGCGAGCTCCGTTGTGAATAGGATCGAGAATCCTAAAAATTGGAGCGAGATCCCAAAAAGATGGGAACGGGTTCCGAGCGACATCCCAGCTCCGAAACGCCGGAGCGAGAGCACCACCCAATAACTATGATCTAAACCCTAACATAAGAGTGGTAAGATGAATATAGCAATGTATAAATGGGTTATAGCATATTTTGTCTGGAAGTTCAATGGATAGAATTAGAACAGCGGCAAAAATGTGATATGTATACTATAATCATTGTATATAACTATATATCCTCTAAAGTTTGCAAAGAGTGCTAAAGGATTGATAAACCCAATGCTATGAGCTTCAAAACCAGATTGCCATGTCAATTCTCAAGCCCTATGGGCACAAGAGAATCCACATGGGAGGAGAGCCCAGGCTCCTCAAACCATGCACTACATGGCCATTAGACCTTTGCAAGTTTCCCTTCTAAATTAAACAGGAATCAATAATTGTATATAGGTGGTAGCAAACGTCATGACATCCGCAGAGACTATACTATGAAGTAATTTTTTATTTGTGCACTGACCATGTTGGAAGATGCTCAGCTAACATGGGTTCAAGTAGAGCTGGTTTTGGATATCTGGTGTGGCTAAGTCGGGACGACCATCAATCAAGGAAAATAGACAACCACTTATGGTCTGATAAACGTACTTGAGTGTAGATGCAAAAGTAACAAGACATCAAAAAAATAGCAGATAACACATATCAAGCACCACTATTAGGAGCATGGAAACCACTAACTTTGAATGAAAGATTCAGATCAGCAGGATTTGTTCAATGAATCAAGTTGCATATGCAACCGTGACAGATATGGACTTCATCCTTCTCAAAGAGAATATGCACGATATATTTTCAAGACAAACATATCATCTCTAAATAGGAGATCCTAGAATATAAATTATCCAAGTTTCTACGTGCATTACAATGACATAGAGGTACCCACTAGTAAATGCTTGTAGATATGCGCTGGTAGATGGCAATGGAAAAGGATATGAGTTAGGTCTAGGGACTTCGACTTGTCTCATTCTTCCACAATGCACGGTGCTTAAATACTATTATATTCCTCAATGCTAATTTTCTAATTTCAAATGATATTAAGTCAACATCAGAGGGTTTTCCATAGAGAAATGTCATTCTCAAGGGGAACCAAAGAAACCAAGCAATGGCAGTTTATAAAGCATCTAAAGCAACATAAATTCCATCTTGAGGTATATTTTACAAGACATTGGTAGTCATCAGAAACTTTCTTGCTCCAATGTTATGCAAAAACCAAGGAAATTTTTTGCAAATACGAAATCTATAAGTTGATGTACATTTCAAACATGAAGAAGCAGGCTATAAGACCCCATTTTTAGTTACATAGGAATGCAAATGGGACATAGATCTTCTCTGATTTAGCCAAAGTATCAATAATTGATAAAATCTCCCTCCCATCTTGAGAAGAAGGTCATCAATTGGGATGAACTGCACTACAAATGTGTATGGTCCACATTACCTCTATGCTTATAGGTAATTCTTGGCTATTCCGCATGACATTTAAAATAATTTTCTAAACAGACATAGACATCTTATTGTTCTTCATGAATCGTATCCCTTGAGAGCGATGAAATCTGATTTTTTTTTTAGCATTATGTCAACATAGCAGAAAGATTTTCTTATAAATTCCATTAAGACAAGCAAAATAGAATAGAAACCTTGATTTATAAAAAGAAGTTCTATTTCTTTTCAAATTTTCAAACCTATACTGTACAACAAGATAATAATTTGGTTGATGTGCATTATTTTAAAAGAATCTCCCAAAAGTCTGGACAACTTGAAGCAAAGAACCGGCATAATTGGCAACATGGGTTCATGCTCATTTAACTGCTGCTCTAAAAGCACATATGACTCGCTCCAAACAATCAGACAAATTGGCAACGCGGGTTAATGCTAAATGAACTGCTTTCCTAAAATCAAAGGTCTCCAAGCAAGTGCCATCTGAATTTAAAAGAATAAATTAAGAAATAAAAAATTTGCCGCACATCAAGCAGCCTCTTGAGAAAATAACAACCAAGATACAAGCAACGCCATACTAATTTATTGCTTACATACACTAATCTACGTTGAAAACCATTTGAGCCCCCATTAAAAATCAAATTAAATGCAGAAAGGGAAGGCATAATTTTTCCACCCATCTCTGTGTGTGTTCACTGGCACATACTGTAGAAAACTAGGATTTAAAAGAACTGAGAGAGAGAGAGAGACCCAATTCCTTTGGTGCCACCAGTGACAAGAGCAGTCATCCCATTGAGAGACCATCTCTCCCCTCTTCTCATCCTGCTGCTCTCCTCTGTTTCCTGGGCCATTTTTTATTTCCTAGCGAAAATAACTTGGTTTATCTGGGAACCCAATAATGTCCCAATGGCGCACGACCAATGGATCACCGTTAAATTTGATTTTCAAGATTGAGATACAGTATACTAGTCCTCTAATAAGAGAAGAAAAAAGACGTGCACGTAGAAACCCTCTCTCTCGCTCTCGCCTCATTCCTTCTCTCACTTGCATAATCTTTTTGACTTTTAAGTGTAGAGCAAGGAAGTCCTTCACTAAAGAGGGGCACTCACGATCACTTCTATTTATCATTTTAAAGGGAAAAGTTTATATATAGCCGATGTTCTAAATAATCAAATTAGAGTCTACCTAAAACTTTTTACTAAAAGAGGTTGTTTTGATGCTCAATTTGATCATCTCGATATCAAGATGTATGGCCATGAAAAAAAAATAGATTTCAAGTTTAAAGGCATCTTGTAACACATTTTAGAAGGTCAATTTTCAAGAGTTTTAAGTTTTCATAGATCTACTTCATCTATACTATTTTTAAAGCTTTAAATTTTATAATTAAAAATAAAAATATATTTTAAAGCTATTACAAAGATTTCCAATATTGAAACCACATTTTTTGACACTATTTGAAGGTAGGCTGTAATTTGATTGTTTAGAGCCTAAGTTCCATACAAACCGTACCCTATTTTAAATTGGGTAGTTGTAACTTGTCAATGTGTTATTGACACATTGACAAGAACTATAGCTCAAAAATATTTTTTGAAATTGGGGACAGCTCGAGCTATCAAATTAGATATCTAATGGGTAGGAGTGATTGTGACCTCCTTGTAACTATGTTAAAAGGTCACCATATCAATAAATAAAATGACGGTAAATGATCTCATAATATACAAGCTCGTTTCTTTTTTAATGAGATCACCCCATTTTTCCTTTTTGATTGTTATCCTCTCTATCAAAATAAGTAAAGTCTCACCTTATAACTCATCGAAAATTGTAATTCAAGCATTGGAAACCTTTACATCGATCATCTAGCCTTGAAGGTTACGATTGTAAAAAAATTAGGATTTCAAGCTCCATAAATAATTGTAACAAATTATCTAGACCGTCCATTCGCCCTAAAAATAAGTGTTTATAGATCCACAAGATCTATATTATTTATCAATTTCACATTTTATTATCGTTGTTGGAGATTGATTTTAGAGCCATCATGGACATCTCCGTTGCCAAAAGTGCTTTCCATATGAGTATTTGAGGTGAGGCTTTATTTTATAAAGCCTTGGCCTTATAGAAACTCCATCTTTCATTATAATCCTCTTTAGGCATACTCTTAAAGTGTCACACATTACAATTCATGTTTGAAAAAATACCGATCTGGATTAAAAGTGGCCCATCTAGTTTAGGAACTGCTCCAGTTCCCAGTTGAAATTGGGATTAGCAAGTTTCCCATAGAACTGGCAATTCTTTCAGGGAACTAGGTGATCCGGTACTTTTTTTTATTTCTTATTTTTAGTTTTAATTTTTTTTAGTTTTTTATTGGCTGATTCTATCGGTCGAAGCACTGGACCGGATTGACGATCTGCCTATCGAAATCAGTTTCTTAGATGGTCAATTTATCTAACCGACCATCATCATCGTTATCATAACATCTTTCTAATTAATTGGGGTCGACTACATGAATCCTGATATATTATTCTGCTCTATTAAAAGCCATATCTTCTATGCACCCGATCGATATGGGTTTTTTTAACATTGGTTACAATTAATACAATGCACAACTCTTGACAAGTGCTACAGTTAAACGAATCTATTTGCATAAGGCTGCAACCTCAAATAATCAAAGTAGGGCGCACTTTCAAACTTTGTCATAAGACACAATTTTGGAGTCAATTAAGAAGCTGTGAATATCTATTTTCATCTCTAATTATAAAATTTTAAACTTAAAGAATAGTTCAAATCAAACACAACTATAAACATATGAAAATCTTAAAAAAAAAACAAAAAAACAAAAGATAGTCTAGATGATGTGTTGCAAAATGTACTATTTTCGGGACTCGAAATCTTTTTTTTTCCCACATTTGTACATCTCGAGGTCATGATGATCACAATTAGATGCTTTTCCAATATCAAACCAGCCTTTTTGAAGGATTTTTGAGATGCACATTAATTCTATATTTTAAGATGTCAACCTTATATAAACTTTTTCCTACAAAAATTTTATAGCAAAAGCTTCGCTTTAAATATGGTTTTAGCAAGTCAGGGAATAACAATCTGTCATCAGTAATATATCGATTGTATCTCAAAATGTTGAGGAAAAAATTGGGTTAAAATATGGATCGCAAAGGAAAAAAGTTATAGAATCATGAATTATTCGGATATGGCTAAAGAAAACAAAGTGAAAACATCGGATATGCAAATACAACATAATATAGCTTATAATTTGCCTAGTGTCATTAGAGTGATACTTGACAATTTATTATCTAAACTTTAATAAATCCAAAAACAATGCTTACATTGTTGCTACATTACAAAACCCATCATAGATTTATTGGGAGCATAAATCATAGATTTATTGGGAGCATAAAATGAAATGCCAACAATAATATTAAACACAAGAACTATGTTACTAAATAACAAGAACTACAAAGTAAGGTACATGATTATTGTTCAAAGAAAATAACAAAAAATACCCTCAGTATAGGATTGCAGTCAATTAAAACAAAACACAAGGACTCAGTGATCCATCTAAAATGCTATGTTGTATACACCAATGAAATAAACAATAAAAATATAAAAATAATTAAACTTCTCTAAGCATAAAAAAAGCAACAAAATGCTTAAGCAAATTCGAATCTCACAATGAATTTCTAGCTGCTTAAATTAGAAACATTGAATCTCTCTCTTGGCTTTATAAAGATGCTAAGGGATTAAAGAAAAAAGAGATTTTTTATTGTATTAGTATTATTTTAACTCTACCTATTATTTTGAGTTATACGATTGTTTTGATATCTTATTTTTTGGAAAATATATTGCTTGTATTCTTTTCATACATTTTTTAAGGGAACTTATTGGTAAAATTTTTAAAGAATTTTTTGTTGAATAAAGATTCTTAATTTTATCCCACTATTAATGTACTCTTTTTAAACTAAAATTCAATAATATTAAGTTAATGAAAAAATAAAATTATAAAGGAGTTTTTTTGAAAAGAAAAAAATACGGATTTACATCAGTTTTATTAAAAAAATATGATTTTTTGAAGATCTTTCGAAAAACTTGGACTTCTCAACTGATTTCAAAAAATCTAAGATTTTTTCAAAAAAATTGTGTTGTAAACGAAAACTTGCTAACTATGTTCATAAGTAATACACAAAAGCATAAAACTTTTCCGTTAAGCCCTAGTTACCAGTGCCATGACTCTGACCTTTACTAATTCAGACAGTAAAACTAGTTATACCTTTACCAGTGTGCATTATGGTGGACGCACTAATTCAAGATCGGACTGGAACCGATGGTTTGGCCAGTCTACCAACTGGCCAGTCTGATTAAAATAAATATCACATTTAGTAATAAATTAATCAATCAGTGTTTGACCGATTTTAACAGGTCCAACCTGTTAGTTTCAATCGGTTCAACAAAAGTATTACATAATTTTTAAACTATTGTTTATATTTTTTTTTATATTTTTAAAATCCGATCAAATTGTCAGCAGTTGCATCAATTTTAATTGGACCAGACCCATTACCATTTCGTTAAGTAATCTAATATTGAAAAAATAAAAATATTGACAAAAAACGTTGTTCTTACTATATGTCAACATTGCATACTCGTATGCTTACAGGGCACACATAAAACAATATAGAAAAGGCATAATATGCTTGTTCTTGTGAAAGTGCATATCACACAGACATTCTCATGCATGAGCCCCCACACACACTCGATAGATTGCTGCATTTACTACAACACATACACGCACTGCTGGATATTATAGATATTATTGGCTCACTTATCAACTTAATTGTTGGGCATCACTTAAGCAGCATAGTTAAGTCGTGCTATTTTTTATCTCGGGTAAACAAACATATGTTTTGTACATGGTAAACGCGAAAGTAATTGCAGTATATACAATTATGCCACTATAATCGGTTGAGAATAGCAGAGGATCTGTATGCTCTCATACCTAGTCAACACGTTTAAAATTGGTGCTCTTAAAAAATGATTGGGAGCTAGTTTTAAAAAAATTGTTACATCATTTTAAAGGTAAGGGAATCTATAAACATTATAAAACCATGGTTTATCAATGCTCAGGAAATATGCTGGTTCACATGGGAAGACTGACGCAAGAAAGGTGCATCGACTAGGACACCTCGAACATCCCCAACAAGCACTTCCCTCCCTTCTGAACCTGCATGCCTCTTCACGTAGCCAAGACCCACATGCTCCACATTTTGGTTTCCAACCACATAACTAGTAAGCTTTCCAACCTGTTCAATATCAGTAACATTTTGAAGCATTCAAGAGAAAATAAACTGAAAACTATACGCGAGAGCCATAGCGTAGAGGTCTGGATCTCTTGGGATTTAGTTAGAATTTTCAGCTTTCCCATCTAGAAATTAAGCAGAAAAGGTACAGAAGGTACCTTCTTGCCCTCTACAATAATGGCACTTCCTGGTTCAACTGGGCCATCCAGACGAATCCCCCACAACCTTTGTTTTACTCCATCATAGGTGACAAGCCTTGCGATGGTCTCCTGTCCTTTATAGCATCCTGACAAAATACAACCAAATTAGTTCAACCCAGAATTGAAACATTCTTGGCCAGTCCTTTGAATGCAGCCTAACCTCTCAGATAACAGTGAGGAACCCAGAATCTTACACCAACTCATCTCCCAACACGAGACAAATTGTCATTTTCCTCAAATTTGGTTGAACCTAGGGATAGTATTGGATTATGCAATCTTTTGCTGCCATTGAGTTTTCCTCATCAAAGATATCTTTTGTAGATTATTTTTCTTTCAGTTCTATCAAAAAAGGACAAAAGCATGAAACACAAGGTAACTGCAAAAACATGATGAAGACAGGCTGACAGGCTTCCACATGAAGACATGTTTCTCAAGTCATTATATGGTTTTGAGAGTGACTCTAATGACATTCTTTCAAGGTCATTAGATGGTGTTGGGGTAAGTTAGATGTTCCATGATGTCATCAGCAAGGAACAGTTGAGGGAATTAGGAGGCATAGCTCTGAATATATAAATATTACCAAGTTCATCCATTTACCTAGAAAGGCCAACCCCCCAACAGATAGTTTCATGATTACAGAATTAGGGGATTGTTTGTTTTTGTTGTTTTTTTTTGTCTTCTAGACTTTTGCTCTTTACTACCTTGTCAGTTTTTATATAATATTAACGAAGAATTTGTCATTCATCAGAAAGGAAAAATGGTACCTTTATTTAGAGATACAGCTTTCCTGAGGCAGGCTTCGAGGACATTAAATTCATTTGTGAGCTCTTTTCCAGGAGAAGGCCTTCCTGTATAATTAGCATTAGTACACTAAATATGCTGTACCAGAATGAATTCTTCGAAGATCAGTTCATAACTTTTTTCATTTGATGGTAAGATCGGTGTACATCTCGGAGAAACTAAACAAAAAATAACAAAAAAATTTAAGCAGTTTATTACATCATTGATTATTATCTCTTTGGGTGGTGGTCATATCACAATTTATTTGAGAAATTGGAACATATTGCAACTCCGACATAATTGCTCGAGCTTTCTACAAGAGAGATGTAAATGAAGAAAAATAAGATGGAAAATAAAGTCCATAAGATCTTCAAGGAAAGTGTCATATTCCGAAATTAAATGTAAAATAAATTGAAGAATCAAATTCAGAAGTGAGATAAAAAATAGCTGCACAAATCCAGATATATGGATGCCTACAGTCCCATGATATTGTCATTTCCCAATAAGTTGCATCTTAGACTCCCCACTTTGACTTCTAAAAGGTTATTAAACTTCCTGGCTTGGCACTCAATGGCACGATTCTTGTATCTTTTTCCCACTTTTTCTCTAAATTACAGTGGGTCAAATTTTCTCTAATTTTTAATTTAAATTTTAAATCATGTACAATTTTCAGAAACATATCAAAAGAATTTAGGGGGCAGGCAAAAAGTGTACTTCCACATCTGAACAGATCCATGGAAATTATAAATCCATGGATCATCAGTTCAATCTTACAAATCAAGCAGATATTCAAGCACTCAAAAGAATTATTGTAAAAATAAAACCAAGTTACACAATTAAAAGATAGCTGACCTTGTATGACTCTTAATCTCTCCCACACATTAGCCCCCATGGGAACTGCACCAAGACTCAAAAGAACCTTCCACACGGATCCAGCAGAGGCCGGTGACAGCATCAGGGAGAAACTATCTTCTGATAAAACATTGCCCACTCCAGCAGTTATTGGCATCCCATTAACCTGTAGACAATGAAGAAAATGAAAAGTTCTTCTATACGGAAGGAAAATATGCAAAAAAGAAAACATATAATCCTCTTTTTTATTTAATTTGATACACTCCAGAACAAAGTAGGTCTCAACCATTTATTCAATAAGACAAGTTTTTATTCAGGATGTGGAGGAAATCCAATTCAACCATCTTTTGACTGATGAGCAATGTTCATTTGTTTGATCATCCTAAGCTATAACAGGGATAGAGTTATGAGCCATAAGAGTTCCTAACAAAGGTGTAACTGGAATAAGGTTATGGAGATTAGTGGAGAAAGATGATGATATGGATGATTTTTTATGGTGTACAATAACTTCAGAGATGTGCAACATCACCGTGTTGTAGAAAAGTTCACCCATTGCTTCGTGGAGCCAATTCACGTCAAAAGGCACAATAGCGAGGATAGATATGAATTTGAAGTAATAAAGATGAAGTGGAGCAGATTAAATAGAACGATCATTGAAAAACGATGGTCCATAAAGAAAGTAAATATTTTATCATTTACTTACTTTTTTCTTGAAAGTTAATGTAGTATCCAATGTTCGAAAATTCGGCCGCTTGGCAGCCTAGGCGGCCAATCGCCTAGGCAGAACCTAGGTGGCTTGAGTCTGGGCACCACCTAGGCGGGCAAGGCGCTACAGTCAAGGTGGCTGCCTAGGTGCCGCCTCGATGCAGGTTGCAGAGGGTGGAAAAATGCCCTTTGCTATGATCAAAATAGACATTTCCCCCCCCCCCCTAAAAAGGGGGGAAAACGGTTTTGGGGGACACTCTAAACCCCCAAATCCAAATCTGTGCAATCTAGTGAGCAAAACTCCCTGAAAACCTCTATTTTGTGATTTTCGGTCAAGTTTTGCCAAATCAGCCAGATTTTACTGTTTTCAGCGAGTTTTTGTTGATTATTTGTCTAGGGTTTGTGATTTCAGTGAACACATAGTAGCAATAAGGGCCCGTGGAAGGGGAGGTTTTGCAGATCCACTTCGAGATCCTAGAGATGAAAAAATTAAGGAACTTAAAAAGCAAATTCGGCAGCTGGCACAACAGTTTACGAGCATCACTCATTAGCAAGACGATGATCTTTCAGCCTAATAAGATGTCGAGTACCACCCTTTCATCTCCATACTCCACATGAAGAGTCAAGTGAAAAGAAAAGTAATAGAAAACCTAAGCATGGGGAACATCACTTGAGGGGTTTTTATTTGAAGGAGATTCTTATTTTTAACGCAGTTTGTATCAAAAATCAGCACAATGTAGATTGGGCTCTGTTAACAATCTTTAATATATATGTAGATAAAGAACAAGATCTTGTAGGAAATCTAATCTAGAATGATGATCAAGATTTTGTGGTTTAACCAATCTTTGACGAAGATAAAAATGTAGATCTCAAGGATATCAAAGAGGTGGAGCATTCAAGAGATTTAGGGCATTGGAATCAAAATAGCACAACAGAAGTGTAGTCGACTCATAAATAGCAAATTGTGGCCTTATTTCGAAAAGTAATGAAATAGATGTCAACATAACCTCTAAAGACCAAAAAATTGGGTTTAAAGTTTCCTATAGGATTTTTTTTAAAAAAAAAATTTCCTACACGATTTTCAATAGCAGTTTATACATATCAGGATCCATTTCTTAAGGAATTCCTTTTACCACCAATAATATTTGAGCCAGCAAAGAAAAAGAAGGTTGAAGAAGATGGTTTTGATGCCGAATTCCTCTTAGTACATTTCAACCAGGGGAGAATGATGGAGGGCAAAATTATTCTTATTTTTAATTTTTATTCAATTTCAAATGATGAATACTATAGGTTTAGATTTAGGATATATTTCTAGGGTTTTTTAGTTTTTTAGGGATTCTGGAGTTTTTTATAGTTTTTATTTACTAATACTGATTACTATATATAGGTACTTTTCACAGGTGATCTTCATGTTGTTGTTCATGAGTACTACTCACGTGCTTAGGGGTATTTTAGAGTATTAAATGTTTACTTGGGTCTCAAGTTAATTTTAGAGTTTCATAGGTTTATAAACTGCTGGATGTCAAATTTTGGAGGCTTATGTTATTTGGAATGAATTTTATTTTATGAAAGACGAAAGTTATCCTCTTGGCTTGATTTACAACCATGTTTTCCTCCATTATTGCTGATTTTACTTATTTAAGGTTCAGGAAAATGGTGGATTTAATTTCGCACATCTCCTTCCTGCATCACAATCAACATTTGACCTCACAGATACAATAATTTTACAACACCATCATCTAATAAAGTTAAATAATAGGTTCTTATCAATTAAAACTTACGTTATAGTGAAGATGTGTGCCGTATGGCTTTCCAACAAGGTCACCAAGATTCAGATCCTCCATTACCTTCATTCATGTACAATAGAAGAGCTCAGAAAGCTTGTTCAGTACAAAAACAAAGAAAAAAGAACACCCCAACCCAAATAATCAATTAACTAGATCCAACAGCTCGGATATGCAAATCAAAGAGCTTACTTGGATGCTTTTAGGTCCAATCAGAGTAAAAAAACATGTCTTTTTGGTGATGTCTTGAAGTTCCACCTTGTCAGTAAAAAAAATGTACCTAAACCAGAGGACATGGGAAAAAGCCATAAAAAATGTTACTTCTCATCAACTCCCTCCACTCTTTAGTTACTTAATAAGCATCTCAGCACAAAATAATCAAAATAAGAGAGAATTTAGCTACTCATGTCAAACTAGACCATGTAGAAACAAAAATCTCAAGGTCAGCTCATCTCTTAGATAATCAGGTTCAATTTAACAGTTGAAAATCTGAACATTCCAAAAAGAGAAACAGTTATTGTAGCGATGTACCTAACATTGTCTGAATGATGGATGCACCCAGTAGGAGAGAGAATGGGACCAACTGCTTTGGTCAGGTCATGTTCTGATAGGCCTTATTTTCTCTCCAATACCATTCATCCATCAATCAGACAGGGTTTGGATGGCGTTGGGCTGGTCCAAGTCAGTAGAAACAGTTCTACCTAATCATTCCTCATCCAGAGATCTCTTCTAATATAGTTAAGCATAACAGCCAGCATTTCATAAAGGCCACATATGGACAACCCATAAACATCTTCATAAAATAATTATGATGGATAAATGAAGAAAAAGGTATCTTAAGGATCATTTAATCTGAAATATGAAAAGCAAAGAAGATCGAACTTACTTTTCAAGCATTCCAAGAATGCTGCTGCAAGTTGTTGGTGAGACTAGCAATGTTATCGCATTTTTCTGCAACCAAATGGACTACAACATTTAACAAAGTACGAGCCAAGGAACAATATGGTAGTAAATTAAATGTTCAAGGTGAAAGAAGAGTTATAAGCTATAACTCATCAATATTCTATAAAGGAAGTGAAAAGGAAAAAGATGAACCAAAATCCCTGCACAAATTTACCATCACCCAAGCGTTAGCAATGTCAATTGTACGAGCTGTTGGTGTTACAAAAACCGTCTCACATCCCTGCATGCTAAATTTGAAATCTCTAATATCAGTAATAAATGCCAATCCACAGCAAAAGATATTACAATAATAGAGTGAAATGAGGGAAGTTGCATAGTTCCTTTTCACCTGTCCTTCAGTTAGAACCTGAAAATCTGCCGTGCTTTGGTTATGCAGAAACTGAATTCTATCTTCCCCAGTAACTATGTTAGATGCAACGTCATGCATGGCAGAAAAGCAGAAAAAATGCAAATAAGAATATTATAGCACATCTAAATTCTAATGCATTAGAGCTTCACTGCTTCAGAATGCCTTTGGGATCCAAAGAAGAAAGATCTCAGTCTGATGAAGCTTTCTTTTCTTTGCGATAAATAAATAAATAGCAAAGAGAAAATCCAGAGAAAAAAAATATACTAAGGATGAGAGAGTGTGTTTTGGATTAAAAAACATGTATTCACAGTTCTAAAATTGATGCACATTAAGCGTCTTATCCAGGCAAAAACGTACAAATGAAATGGATCAATGCAGTTCTCTTCCTAGGATGGACAAATGTAGCAATTTGATTACGCAACATATTAACACGAGTAGCATCCATATCAACAGAAAGATATTTTAGGTGAACATGTCCGTGAGTATTGAAGTGCATTATAGATCAAAGATGACTTGACATTTAAACAACTAGTGAGAAGGAGCCTCAATTTCTTTTCTTTTCTTTTCTTTCTTTTTTTTTCTGGGTGGGTAAGCAAAAGTTTTGAACTGCAAAACATAAAATTGGGATTAGGGCTGGCAAAGTGCCAAGTTGGGCCAGGCCAGCCCTGGACCTAGCACAAACCTGGTCCCCTGAGGGCCCCCGCCGAGACCGGACCCGCCGCAAAGGCCTTGGCTGAGGCCGGCACTGACGGGCTAAATAAAATTAAAGAAATCAAACCAAAAAAGCTAAAGAAATAAGGGATGGGCCAAACAGGGCCGGCCCTGTCTTGGACCTGGGCCCAGGGCAGGCCTGGCCGTCAAGCCACATTTTTTGGCCAATGCCCTAGTTTTTTGGGCCAGTAAAGCCGGGCAAGGCCACCTAGCCCATTGCCACTCCCAATTGGGACAAAATGCAAATATAACTACTCTACAAGCTACTCCACGAGCTAAAACCAATTTGCAGTTTCTCTACAATCTAATAACTAGTGAATAATAGGAACAACATACCTCTAATCCGACCAAAATGGGAAAGGTCCACAACCTACAAAAGAACAACACAAGAATAAAAAACAGAAGAAAACCCACTTGTCAAGGAAATACTTTTCTGTCTTTCATAACTTTATATAGCATGAAAAGGCCATGAAAAGGCCAAGGAATGAAAGGAGACATCTCATTTGTTGCAACAAACAAAGAGAATTTTTTTCAGAGAGCATGTAATCCACTTAAACATTGTCTATTTTGAAAGTAATATCACTTTCATGTAAACATCCTATCAGTATTCCCAATTATAAATGGAAGTAAGTCCATCAAATATTACTACGAGAATATTCCTCAAAGCAAAGACGAAGGTACATATAAGTTGAGCAAGTCACCCTATGTGCTCCATCGGATAACGTTTATCCCTCATGAAGGACAGCACTGGAATAACATCGTAGTCAACAATGTGGCAAAGGCCAAGGACGAGATCTTTCAACTGCAAGGTGTTCTATTCAAACTAGAGCCAAACACATAACTTAGGAGGGGTAGACCAGGACCTCAAGGAGATGGTAGGGAATCAATAGGGTTGAATGTATATTGCTACTCCTACATGAAAGAGAATTTCTTCAAGAAATAGTGCTCCAACTTTTATGGTGATAGTCTTTTGCTGTCCAAAAAATTATTTGTTTGCACACCTACCTTTCTGAATAATAAGCATATTTTCTTCAGCAACAAACGAGACAGTCACATAAAGCAAGACATGACTTGCAAATCATGTGTGGCAATTTTCCAAGTCACATAACCTGACAATATAGTGTTTGCAAATCACAACGAGCATATCCACATCACAGCTGCGGTGGTAAACTGTTCATGCAGAGGAATGGGTAGCATACACCATGAGGTTACAAATGGTGGCTTATCTGCTCTTTTAGTAGAAAGAGCCACAAATGCCAAATGAACAGATAGTGATGCCGCTTTTATGTGCAGGTAAACCAAGCACATGTGCAGGCCCAAAGCAATCATGTAGTGTGTGTATTTTATAGCAGGAAAATCACAAGCATTGCAAACTCATTTAATATTTTGAAAACATGTGTAGCTACCCCAAGGAAAGAAAAGCAAAAGATGTTTTGAACTTTCCATTAGTTTCTAGTAAACAACATTTGAAAGATGTAAACTTTTAACCCTTGATGGAAAACAGAAATTAACAGGAAACAATACTAAATTTATGAATGTTCCATAGTCGATCAAGGGAAAAAGAACAGATGGAATGCATTGTCAAAGTACTGAGCGGAAAACATTTAAACGTCAATGTATGTTTCTTTTTCTTTTTTCTTTTTTTCTTTTTTTTTGTGGTAAGTATACAGTACACAGTACACACCAACACATCAAGAAGTTTCTGCACCCTATGGAACAATATTTAAGCACCATTAACTCAGGAATTAAAACATCAACTACCTGGGTCTACAAAGTTTCTGCCTCAGCAAAAAAGTAATTTGTAGTACCCATAGTAAGCATTGTGCTCAACCGAAAAATATTCCAAGGTTAGTGGGATTTGCCGACTCCCACCATTTATTGGAACATGAAAAAGAAGGGTTTGATCATCAGTGGCTACTAATAGGGCTAATTAACAGACTGTTACAAACAAAAAATTTGAAACGTTGTCAGATTGATATCAATCAATCTATAACTCAAATTCTCCAACATTGACCAATTATTCTTCTCCTTTGAACTAACAAAAACAACAATAGAACAATTCAACGTCAAGAAGATACACGAAAGCAATGCCCCACAAACTATGCATTGATAAGTCCACATAAGAGGAGGGGTTCCAAAACCATGAAAGAAACTTACCGCAACACCATCCTCAACCGCTTTCATCGCCACCTCGTCATTTCCAAAAGTTTCCACAATGCCATCCTCTAACAGTTTTGCGCCCTCAGCAACCATTACATCCTATAAAAAAACAGGATTGCATCGAATTAATTTTGGGAATACAGATCGCAAATCGTGATTCTGATGTTAAAAGAATGACTCCAATCGAACTTGTCAAAATTTTGCATTTGCATATTTCTTACTTAATCAAACACTAATTTCAAAAACAAAAAAAAGGAATAGAAATAACACAGATATCACAATAGTATTAAGAAGTTGCCAAATTTCAAGCTCATGTTGAACTCTCTTAAACTCAACCTCATTATCGTGATTGCAAAAATTCAGCCCCAGACAAGATTTAATTGAAGAATAACATTATCATCTTTACATGTAATAATAACCTGCAATCCATACTCGGATTGGAAGTGAGAAGCAGAAGTAATAAAAAAAATGAAACACACCAACTACTAAATTCACAGAATAATCTGGAAATTCAAGCTCATCATGATAACCAAGAGAGAGAAACTCAAGCTGAAAAGGATAAAAAAAAGATACCTAAGCCTTATAGAAATCGAAACAATGACAAATGTGAGATAACAAGCCTCCAAATCCAAACAAGGCCTGATGAATTACACAGACAAAGTGAGAGAGAGTACATGTAAGTCGTCGTCGATGGGCGGGGGAACAATGTCGAAAGATGACGAAGCCCGGAGAGAGACTGGCCTTGGACGATTATGGGCGTTGTAGAGAGAGAGTGAGCGAACATTTGGAGCAAAGCTTAATTGACAGTGGTGGAAGGAGTGGGTGAAGGAATAAAACCAGCCCTTAATCTTGGCGGCAGGAATATGGAACCCTCCAGCAATTGAACAAGAAATAACAGCCATGGATATCCGTTTCAAGGTTAGTGAGAGAAGAAAACGAGCTCTCTCTCTCTAGAATTGCAAGAGAAGCTAAAGCACAGTACCACTCACTCTCTCATCTCTCACCGGAGAACACAGGCGACTGAGGCTCTCCAAGTCTCCACCAGTACTAGACGAGCATGTACACTATGGTCCCGAGGGAGCATATTTATTCCTACTACCTCTTAAGTTTACATTTTCAATATGAAATCTTGGTAACCATATTGTAATCACCTTATAATCACTACATGATTATTCTAAAAATGAATAAAATTTGAGCTTTTTAGCACTTATATCTCACCCTCTAAACATTCAGATAGTTTTTATTCAATCTTGAAACTTTTTTTTTTTTTTCAAATGCTTGAAGGATGCAATTAGAAAAAAAAAAAAAAGTATTAAGGTTAATCTATGTATTAAAGATCTCATACCCCCAAAATTTGGGATCCTCAAACTAATTCTAAGTGAGTTTTTACCCAAGGGAATAAACGGATAATATACTCCCAAAGGTGCAGAATATCTTTTCGCTAGACCGAAATACTATTGAGGGACTTAATTTCCAACTCACATCGGGCTTTAGAGGTAAGAGCAGAGAAATGCGCAAAATTTTGGATGACCACGAATGTATTTCTCAATAAAACGATTAGTGCATGTCTGGATAGGATTTGTGAAATTGAATAAAAAAATTAGAAAGATTTTAGTTGTTTACAGAAATTATCAGAACTATCTTTATTTTTCAAAACCATACAAATATTTTTTAAACTACATGTTCCCAATATTTCAAATTATTTTATTAAAATATATGTTCATACTCAGCTTTTCAAATTCTTTTCTGTAATTTTTCCTTTGACTGCTTTGTTAACTCTTTTTTGTATTTTTTCCTTTTAACTTCTTTGGCCGTGGAGCCATATGTCCGCTTGGGACATCAAGGGAAGCACCTAAAGGACCAAGGAACCCCTTGAGCATCACAGCCCTATTGGAGCTACGATGAACCACCACGGCTCTAATAAGGCTTTGATGTCATTGGCTATTCAATGGGGGTGCCTTGGGCGCCTTTATTACCATTTTAATAGGCTTGTGCCTATGTCGGGCATTTCATGCTAGAAAAAAACTAAAAAAGACCCCAATAAACTAAACATGGACATAATTTTTTTTAAAAAAAATGGTACTGTGAATTTAAAAAAATAATAAAAATATTTTTTATAATTTCCCAATGGCCAACTGTTCAATTGGCTTTGCTTTGGTAGCGAGGCAAAACTACCTAATGGGACCTGTGTTGATTGCCCATTTTAATTTACGATATCTATTGCAATCTTTTATATTTTTTTCGGTGTTCAAAACAACGGATCGGACCAACTAGTCGGTCCTGGCCCGATCCAAATAGTCCAACCGATTTCGACTAGATTGGCCAATTAAAGCTCTGATTTTTTCTAAAAAATGTAATTTTGGTAAAAAAATCTCAAAAAACTCAAAAAAAAAACCAAAAAATTAGGCTTAAAATTTGCATTATTATTTTTTTATAGTCACATAATAAAAGCAAAAAAATAAATATTATAAGCATAATTAGGTTTCGAAAAAAATAATCAGGCACTTGAAACAACACTTTTTCAGTGATCAATATATAATAAATATATATATTAATATTATATACTATACAATATAAATTACATTAATAAAATAAATATAAATATATAATATATAATATGATATGATATAATATTATAAAATATTATAATATTTCAACTTAAGACCATGTTTGTTTTTTTTTTTAATATTTTGAAATTCAATTAAAAATATAGGTAAAATATAAAATTGTTAGTCTCTTTTGTGACAACTTTGATAAAATTTCATCTCTCTCATATCTATGTTTATGTGCCCCTCTGGGGGTTGGTAGTGTAGGTATTAGATTGAATATCAAATCAGATGAATAAGGAATAAATTTTACATCCCCTGTGAGGGACTTACAAGCTTGGCACCCTGCTGCGCCCAACCAACTCTAGTGCGTCTGTGTCTACTTGCCCAAGGCGACAAACCCTACAATTTACAAATAAAAAATTTATAATAATATATAAAATCTTAAATAAAAAAATTAAAAGATAAGGACAAGAAAAATAAAGAGAAATATATAAAAAAATGTTATAAAGACAACTTTGTAAACAATGCAATGTAACCGTGTACTTAGCGGCCGATTTTTAGAACAAATCGCGGATTAGTGCCAATTAATGCCGATTAGTCGGATTAGTGTACTGAAAAAAATATATATACATGATCGTTGGAATCGGGCCAGATCGAGATCGGCCAATGATCGATCCCGAGTTAGTCGGCCGATTTTTTAAAAATCGGCCGCTTTTAAACAACGATAATTCTCAAAAAATTATTTTGCTTTATTTTAATCTAATTCATGATATGTAAATCACACGATTTTTCAACTATTCTTACAAATGCTCTTATTATATGACAATTTTTACAACCATTCCTTTAAATATAGTTAATGCCCATTTCGAATAAGATAATCTGAAATAAAATAGGGGAAAATTATGTAAACCCCTTCACTAAATTTGCACACAACCCCCGACTTTCCACCACAAAAATGTATATTTTATCGTTCGCATCGGAAACCTGCAACTACTTTGTTTTACAATGACCCAAGTGAATTTTTTAAAGTCATTTTGGACGAAATACTCCCCTCAATCAAATACAGAAAACTTATCTTATACCCCGTGCAACGCCTGGGGTGCTGGACCGACCTTAGTTCCAAGAACTTCACAAGGTCAAACCGACATTAAACTTAAATTTTTTTTCTCTATCGAAAATGACCTAAAAATTTCATCATGGATGGTCAATGTAAAAAACAATAAAAATTAAAAAAATAAGAACAAAACAACATAAAACATTCTTCAACATTCTTTAATTACGCTTTTTTCCATTTTTATTAAAAAAAATCCTACCATAATAAAATAACTGGATTTTCAGTTTTTTCTTAAAAATACCTATTTATTAATTAGGGACAACTACTTACAATAAAAATACTTAAGATCTTAAATTACCAATATTTCTACTTTTAAAATAATTAATGCCAAACTAAAATAAGAGATTGGAAATTTCACGAGAAACACAATATGGATGTACACTTTTACAAATGAATGTCTAGGAATTAATTGGAGTAAGAAATAGAGATACATTTATTGGAAGTGTTCAAAGATATTGATTGAAATACAAGGAGAAATGACCTAGAGGTTTTTCGCTCATTGCACTGTACTGAGATTTTGGAAAATTGGGAGGAAAAAAAAAATGTGAAGGAAAACTCAAATTCTATCCGTTCCCATAGGTAACGTAGGTAAAAATATTACACATCTCTGGGATCCCTTAAAGGATGGGAATCAAAACTTCTATGAGACATGGATCCCTGATAACATAAATTAGGCCAAATTTTAAGAATCCATCACCAAAACTTCCATGATACGTGGATCCCTGATAACATAAATTAGGCCAAATTTTAAGAATGCATCAATGACTCGTATGAATGCATATTGTCCCATTACTGGTTAGGACCTTGGGATTTTAAGAACATGAACGCTCTTAACAAACCCCTTCCCAACCTCACCTATGCACCTTAGCTTGTCAACCATCCTACCCTCTTCATCACCACCTTCTCGCTTCCTTTTCTGCAAAAGAAGAAAAGGAAACCAACTCAACATTCTACCAAACATGATGTATTCGCTTCTAAAAGAAAGGGAAGAAAAGAATCCACAACAGCGTTTCAAAACTCGGCCAAGCCCCAAGTTACTAGGACTCGCCCCATGGGCGAGGCCGAGTTCCCCCAAGTCGGGGTACATCATAAATATTTTAAAAATCTAAAAAATTTATGAAAAACACATAAATGGTATATAAATTGCCCCCTTCCAGGAAGAGCCTCCTCCCCAGCACCAGCAGGGATATCTAGATCAATGTCCCACCAAGGGACAGGTCAGAAGCTCGATGAGCTCGCATAAAATCCTCCTCCATCTGCCCCCAGAACATGGTCTTTAGGGGGGAAATTGAGATTGATCGACTCACCAGTGAGGACATAATCAAAGTGGACAAAGAAAGAATCCCCTTCAGATCCTGCTGTTAGAAGGAGTAGCAGGCAGAAACAAAGCACTCGAAAGGAAAAAAAAAAACAAAACAATTGCAGAGCTTTTGTTGTATATGATTTTGACTTTTGTTGTATATGATTTTGATGTTTTTGGCAAAGTTTGGCGAGTGTTTTTTCCCACAATCCCTATTTTTACTTCTTTTTCTTCTTTTTTTAGATTTTTAAAATATCCTTAACAATCAGTGTTTCTTACATGCATTTTTTTGGTACTTCTTAAAGCTTATTTCGACTATTTAATGTTTTCTTTTGACTTTATTTTACTTTTCTTACCTTTATTTTAATTTCCATTTTTATTTTTTTTATCTTTCCTAGGGCTTTTTGGCCCTGTGCATGACTCGGGTGACTCGCCTCAGCCGAGTTTCTAAACACTGATTCACACATTTTACATCCTAAAAGAATTGCATTACCAAAACTCTCTCTCTCTCTCTCTCTCTCTCTCTCTCTCTCTCTCTCTCTCTCTCTCTCTCTCTCTCTCTCTCTCTCTCTCTACTACTACTACTACTACTACGTACGTACGTACGTACGTACGTACGTACG